CAGCCAGGCAGACGAGCTCCAAGGCAGCTCCCATGCCAGAGGACGAAGAGAGCACATCAACTCAGTCACGGTCAGAGAAACAGGACCATCCACTATAATATATATTATTAATATTCCAAGGATGAATTCTAAATACAGAATCAGTTTATTAAGTTACTTAGTGATAAAACTTTTCCTGTTTTGGGTCATTTAACATGTCCATCATTATTTCTGCTTGGTGATATTCCAAACTGAAATATTTTTTTTACTTTTTTAATGCAGAAAGATACATACCCGCAAAACACCACACTGTTTATTCCTACGATATTTATGATCTCATGCTTTCTCAACTTCTGAACATTTCATCTAAATGGAGGCAAACCTGTGAAAGTATTTGAATTTTGACATTTCCCTCGAGCTTTTCTGATGTGGATATTTCAAAATGTGCTTTAGAAAAGCTGAAGGAAATGCACCTACTGTGACACAAGTATTATATCAACATCAGAAGATGAATAAAGTGATGATAGTTATTAGTAGTCACCAATTTAGTGCTACTTGGTCCCAATGGAATTTCCCATTGGGAACCTACTAGCAATAAGTTGCTAACTGGTTAGCAAGATGCTTCCGAGACACCGGCAGCAACCAAACGTGCTTGCGAACCTTCCGCCACAACAATCCCGCCCCCTTGATGAATGACCAATCACATTCACTTTATTCACTCGTGTAAAGTCGGGCACCACTCGGGACAATTAGAAAATACAACATTTGGAACAGCCGATTCCCTATGACTTTAAAGTGTAATAAACTCACACATCATCAATGATAATTATCCTAACATATGTTTAAAAACAGTATTTCCATTGCAATTACACTGATTAAAATTCTGCCTAATGGGCAAATTTTGGTGTGATTGTGCTGAAATGCGCTTGACGGATCCATGGGGGAGGGGCCCTGATGTCAGTCAACTTGTAGCGGACTCTGAAATTTAGGGTATATCAATAAATCTTTAGGAATTAATATGAAAATCAATCCAATGTGAGACATCATATCCAGAATGTTTCAATTCAAACAGCTGGAAAGGCAATTGTAGTAAATACAAATTCAAACTTTTGAAAAAGTATGAAAATAATCTAAATAAAACTGTAAAACTTTGTTAAATTTAATATCAGGCAGCTTAAAAACCTGTTTAATCTTTATCTCTAATGATGTGGGAAACCGTTAATGAGGAATCTGTGAAGTTCCTAAGTATTATAAGCAGTCATACCTCCTTAATGAAGCGATACTGGTAGAGTGTACCCTTGGCGGGGAGACGAACTCTCAGCGGTTTGGCTGGAGCGTCAGCACCGCTCAAAATGCCATGTCGGGTCATCGTCTCTTTGCTCAAAGGGCCCCTCAGCATCTCTTTCAGCACAGAGTCGAACTTCACTCGGCCCAAATCGTCACAGCTGCCCCCCACTGACCACACCAGGCAGAACACAAAGATACCCTTTGGAGAAGAAAAGCACAATTGTCAGACACATATCTTATAATTTCAATAATCATTTAGGGGTCAGAGATATTATTTTAAATCTTAAAACACATCTAAATCCCTTCCTGTTATAATCTGATGCAAACGGCATCAGCGCAGACAGGGTGAGGGAGTACTTCCCATTTCAAACTCGTTCTTACTGATACACCTGCGTGGGAGGTTAATTCAAAAAGGATTCACTCCTATAAAAAGCATTTTAATCACCATAGACCACCAACGCTTTCAGTGGATAAATCACATTAGAGCCGGTGTTCTGTCAGATCAGCATACATGGTCGGATGAGCATACTTACAGTCAATGCACATGCATAAGATGTCAGATTTGTGTTTATCCTTTTAGTTTTGTACGAAAAATGGACTTCAAACTACCTCAACAAGCGTGTATCCCTTTAGTTAAGTACAAAAAAAGAAAAATAAGGTCAGATTGCCATATACTTAAAAAACAGCAACCAAAAACTAAGTAATTAAATTGTTTTTTTGTAAATGACTAATGGGATCAAGTAGTTTAAGGTGTATTTTTCAAACAAAATGGGTATTGACCATGGGAATGCTGGTCTGACCGGGTATGCTCATCTGACAGAACACCAGCAAACAAAGCTGGAATAATTGGTATGTTAGCTTTACTGAGGTTCTAATAACTTATTATGGTTAAAACCATGAATAACTACAGTAACGCAGCTCCCAGATATTATTATTGTAGAAATAATTTGAGTATATTTGTCTGTATTTGTCTGCGATAGATGTTTACGTACATTGCACATTTCAATAAGAACTGAGAAAATGGTGGAATATAATAATGTGTATGTGCGTTGTAGTGGGCAAAAAGTGTTCAACTATTGACCCCAGTTAAATAAACGTTTTGATTGATGGATTTCACTCATTCTGCGCATTACAGTATTTTCATATCTTTGCAAATACAGGATAGCCCTTACTGGTTGGTATTCAGCCCTGTTCTGCCTGGGCAGAGTCTGTTCCCTTTACTGACAGTAATGCAAAGTAGTCAGAGTCAAAACAAATTACAGATGCTTTTGTTAAACAGCAACATGTTATGTATAATCCTTGGGAAAGAATGTGGCTTGTTTTGGGAAGAAGCTATGTCTGGTCTACAAACACCCTCACAAAGAAGAATAGTGTGGCCGTGCAGGGGAGACAGACTGACTAGAGACTGACACGGGAGTGGATTTTCACTCCTGTCCCGTCCCACTCC